AAAAATTGTCCAATGACATCCTGTGTTACTTGTCATGTCCTGTCCCCTTTGCTAATGTCACATTACTTCGAGCTAGCCGAGCCGTGTTCTTTGCAGACAGTCATAGCCTTTTTAGTAATTATCTAGTACATATACTTACTGTGTATTGTGTTTCTCATAAAACTACTGGATTTAATCAGATTTGATAAATTTTTGGTTATAAGAGGTAGGTGAATATTTCATCTGAAATGGCATTTTTATCATCACTTTAAGTTTATATTTCTTTAAGTACTACATAAATTTACAATTATTTTTATTTGTTATTAATTTGTTCTATAATTTTACCTATAATTGTGTAATTGGATTTTGTTTAATTACTTTTTAAGTTGTTTACAAGTGATTACATTTTTAGTTAAAAATTAAAAGAAAAATATCTCTTCCCAAATTTACAGGATGCAAAACTAATGTTTATTTTTTCATAAGCCTTTAAATTAATTGGTAATTGAAGGAATAGTAAAAAGTAAAATTGTTAATTGTTTTGATTTATGTTTCATTGGAAGTATCTATTTTAACTAACTTTTTTTTAATGTGTACAGTTTTTAAATGAAATTTTATTGTATTGTATACAAATGCCTTAATTCAGCCTGTTGGTTGCCACGGAATTTGTATTTTAATGTCTTGTGTTTTGAAATAAAGATACCAATATAGCTATTCAATGAAATTAACATTTCATACTATACATGTTTTTACTTAAATTTTAGTGTATCATATAATGTGCAATTTTTGTGTTATTTTCTATAATAATAATAATAATAATAATAATAATAATGATAAATGATAACTTATATAGCGCATTTTCAATTAAAAGCTACGCAGATATATGTATATTTATATCCTGGCTTCATTTATAAATATTAATTTGTATTAACTTGAGTGATATGTGTATTGTTGAAGAAAAATATTTTTATTCATAATTGGCTATAAATTTCAAGGATTATTTACATAATTTAATGAGAGGTTATACAGTTCACAGGTGTTTATTCACCTGAAATTCTCACATGACAAATTCACCTGAGCGATTTTATGCCAACTTAGTAGTCAATTGTGTATTAACTGATGAAAGAATTTGTGGCAATTGTAAGTCTGATGGAAGACCTGATGAAAGAAAGCTTAAATGTTTGAAAGTAATGTTGCTTAGCAGCTTAGAATGTTGAATGACATTAGACCTACTATTGAAATATTGATTGATTAGTTAAATATATATGTTACTAATTTTCATTGCAATTTATTCTTTTTTCTGAAAGTACATGCATTGGATAGATTTGTTCGATGTAAACACCAAGGATAACCCACGAAAATCAGAATTAGATTTATTTCCAGTGGGGTCCTTCCGGTGGTGATTGGGCAGTACACCATTAGACAATCCCCCTACTCTTTTCCGATGAGTGCACTGTGTTCTTTAACATGCACATGGGCCATAATGTACATGGGGCCATCGTATCATCCGAATGACGGGGCGCTATCGTAACTTGCATTTCAGCCCTCTAGCTGAAATTATGAGAACGATGGGAATTGACCCGGGGACCAAGTGATTCTTCACAGTTTAGCGCACACAGTGGATGCCACCAGTTTAGCAGATTGAGCTAAGCAGCTCATTGTTCATCACTTATTACATAATTGATTATAAGGTTGATAATAATGACAGACAAAAGAAAGACAAACCCATTTCACACTAACAGAAAATATTACAACTTTTAACAACTATTAACAAGTTGTAACAAGTTTGATATTCCGAGATTTTTGGTTCGTTTCACACATGCACTTTCAAACCATGAGAAATCTCGGGAAAACTCGGAAGAATATTATGACTAGGCCTAGAGGCCTAGGGTAGTACTAGTAGGCCTAGGCTAGTTGTAGGTTGTCCGAATTACATGTCAACTATTAAACTAGGCCTGGTACCGAATTAACAAGATTATAATTATTCCATGGTCCTTAGCCTTCGAAAAGTAAAACGAATTCAACTCCCAGCTCGCTTGCTGTAGTCGAGCTGGCGAGAAAGATAGGCCTAGGCTAGCTAGGCACAGTCGGGCCGCCGGCCGGTAGCTCACCATTGTTGTTAGAGGCAATCAGTGCGACAAGCATCATAATGATTCGCTGTTGGCGTAATTTACGAAGCCTCGTGATTGTTTCTACATCAGACATGTGAAATTTAGCGAGATTTCTTTTGATTTTGATATGTTTTCCATCGCTGCCGCCATTCGTTCGAACTAAAAAAAAAATTTTAAAAAAACACAGCCCGCAAAAAGGTCAAAATATGGACATGACGCATGCGCAACAACAACTCGGAAGATTTCGGGGAAAAAACAGGCCTCGCGATGGTCTGTTTTTGTTCCGAGATAACTCAGGGGACCCCTGTGAAATCTCGGAAAGTTTACAAGGATTTTGCTTTCACACTCATCCAAACCTGGTTACTTGTTACAAGTTGTTAATATTTGCAAAATAGCATCAGTGTGAAATGGGTATAAGTTATACTGGTGGACCAAAAGATAAATTATCTTTAATAACAGAAATAATTATGAATGTTAAAAGTCATAATGTAGGTATGTGCTGCTGATGATGATGATGGCAGCAACAGCAATGAAAACAAATATTTAATGAATTTATGATCAATATTTTTGTAAATTGGGTATGTTGAATATATTTTTCAATATCCTGATTAAAATCTTTAAAATATCTTTTTTTTTAAATTTAGGGTAAAGTTCTCGCAGTAATTCTTTTCCATATTAACATAAGAAAATATTGTAATATATGAATAATAAAAAGTGATATGTAAAGTCGGGTGTACAGTATAAGGTCCATCCATAATTATCAACATTTTCAAAAGAGTACAAAAAACACGCTAAAAGGGGGTAGGGGAGGGGGTGGGATGTTGAAAGTTTAGGCATGAGTGTGTGTATGTTTGTCTTGTGTAAGGGATTGTCACCTACAAGTAGGACAGTGATATATTGGCTATTGACAATCCTTGGCACATGTATTGTGTGCCTAAAAAAAAAAAAAAAAAGTACTAAATGTTGATCTGAAAATGACACAAATCAACATTTTTTGCATACTCTTTCAGGGGGAGGGAGGGTTCACAGAAAAGAGTATGTTTTGTACTTTTTTGAAAATGTTGAAAATTATGGATGACTCTAAACAGACATTGTTTGGTAGTGTATGCTGCTTTTAAGTCCTCGCCACACTATCAATTTTCTTTGACAGATACATGGGACATGCCTAAATATGGTCATGAAGACATCACATCATGTTTTTATAAGAGCAAACATTGTCCGAGCCTGTCTGACACACAAACCATCTTTAGTCTTTTGTACGCTTAACTTTCTGAGCTCTTTTTTTCATGACCTGTATAGGCATATCATGACTATATATGGGCATACAACAGTATTTTGTGAAACAAAATTTGATAGTGTGGACAGGGTTTAATGCATATCTGACCAGACAAATCATTTTGTCCAAACAAACATTGTTGAGTCTAACAATCTATAGTGTTTTGCATGCTAATCTTTTGGGAGCTCGTTTTTTTGTTTTTTTCATGAAAAACCTCAAATTTTTGAATCCTAGTATCACAGATATTGCCTTTCAATTTTAACAATAGTTTAATGTTTTAAGAGACTTTGTCTAACAGTCTGTGGTACTTAATGGACGATAGAAAATAAACTTTTATGCTTTTTAGTGCTTTTTATATGAGGTTAAACATAGGCATTTTTTTCAAACATTCTATCATTTATTTTCTTGATTTCTTCTCCAGGAGTCAGCTCAGGTTGACTGTAGCCTACAGGATATTTTATCGGACTTATTTCCACCATTTAATGAATTTATGATCAATATTTGTAAATTGAGTATGTTGAATATATTTTTCAATATCCTGATTAAAATCTTTAAAATATCATTTTTTTTTAAATTTAGGGTAAAGTTCTCGCAGTAATTCTTTTCCATATTAACATAAGAAAATATTGTAATATATGAATAATAAAAAGTGATATGTAAAGTTGGGTGTACAGTACAAGGTCCATCCATAATTATCAACATTTTCAAAAGAGTACAAAAAATACGCTAAAAGGGGGTGGGGGAAGTGGGTGGGATGTTGAAAGTTTAGGCATGAGTGTGTGTATGTTTGTCTTGTGTAAGGGATTGTCACCTACAAGTAGGAAAGTGATATATTGGCTATTGACAATCCTTGGCACATGTATTGTGTGCCTAAAAAAAAAAAAAAAAAAAAAAAGTACTAAATTTTGATCTGAAAATGACACAAATCAACATTTTTTGCATACTTTTTCTGGGGGAGGGAGGATTCACAGAAAAGAGTATGTTTTGTACTTTTTTGAAAATGTTCAAAATTATGGATGACTCTAAACAGACATTGTTTGGTAGTGTATGCTTCTTTTAAGTCCTCGCCACACTATCAATTTTCTTTAACAGATACATGTGACATGCCTAAATATGGTCATGAAGACATCACATCATGTTTTTATAAGAGCAAACATTGTCCGAGTCTGTCTGACACAAACCATCTTTAGTCTTTTGTATGCTTAACTTTCTGAGCTCTTTTTTTCATGACCTGTATAGGCATATCATGACTATATATGGGCATACAACAGTATTTTGTGAAACAAAATTTGATAGTGTGGACAGGGTTTAATGCATATCTGACCAGACAAATCATTTTGTCCAAACAAACATTGTTGAGTCTAACAATCTATAGTGTTTTGCATGCTAATCTTTTGGGAGCTCGTTTTTTTGTTTTTTTCATGAAAAACCTCAAATTTTTGAATCCTAGTATCACAGATATTGCCTTTCAATTTTAACAATAGTTTAATGTTTTAAGAGACTTTGTCTAACAGTCTGTGGTACTTAATGGACGATAGAAAATAAACTTTTATGCTTTTTAGTGCTTTTTATATGAGGTTAAACATAGGCATTTTTTTCAAACATTCTATCATTTATTTTCTTGATTTCTTCTCCAGGAGTCAGCTCAGGTTGACTGTAGCCTACAGGATATTTTATCGGACTTATTTCCACCATTTCAAAATGTTGCCCCCTATCTGCTGGCTCAGGTGTTTGAGATCGTCGATGGTAGTTTTAACGGAGATGGAATAAGGTTTATGCAAGAGTTTCTGGTTCCCTTGAAAACTCTTTTGAAGAAACTGAAAGCATTAAGTCGGGTAAGTTGAAGTAATTGGACTATCTTTGAAAAATTGTCTCAGGAAAATATATTTATATTTTTTTTATATTGTTATTATTTGATTATTATTTATTTGATGACACTTGACCTTTGAATCGTTGGCACTGTCTTACAGATTACACAAGAATTTGAAGGAAAACAATCTTAACTAAAACTAGCAAAAGCAAGATAAAAAAGAAAATATAAATACATACAGTATACATACTGTCCTCACACGCGTGCAAGTATACATATGTACATGGGCGGCGGAAGCGGTCTCATAATATCCTTGTTACTACTTTTGATATTGCAATTATTATTGAAACTTTTGCTAATGCTGTAGCTTTTGTCCAAACAATATGAACTTTAAAGTAAAGAAAAATATTACAAGAAACTACGGTATCCTGCCTTGAGTGGTAGGGATAGGAAAGGATAAAGCGGAGGTACTGTAATACAATGGATCCTAGAACTTGTTAAGGGCAGAGATGCTCATGTCATAGAGACTATGCTGAAACCAAAGATATGACGGTTATCACTATGTTGTTGATGATTACTGTCAAAAGTTGTACTCCAAGTGTATTTCTCGTAACTTTTCATTTTAGGCAAAGTTTGACTTCATGAGCAATATCCACTCAGTTCTGTCTTTGTGATTAATGCAGATTCTGTGTATGTGGTTTTTTTAATTTTTAAATTTTTTTAAATTTTTTTAAAACCATCTTTCGAGACAGTTACCCATGTATCTGATCTGTCCATGGGTTAACTAATGTCATTATTTAGAGGTCAATTTAATATACAGTAGGAGACATGAATCATTACAGTACAGTTGTGTTAAATTTTGATTTTCTCATAGTATGTTATTACTACGTTGTATGCGTTGAACTCGATAACATGATATCAGACAGTGAGTTTCAGTGGTTAAATCATATCAATTGCACTTAAGTTAATTTGATTATCATGTTATGTACAACTGCCACTAGGCTCTACATTTGCAGTTAAGGTTCTGAAGACACTTCAGAATTTGAGGAATCACTTGAAAAAGTCTTCCTTTTACATTATGACTATAATGTACTTGCTCAATGGTGACCGTTGAACTATAGAGGACACCATAACTGTGCATTTTAAGTAATGTATCATATCTATAATTACCCATTTGATACAATCTTCGTTCTCTTTTAATAAGTGTAATATACCTCTCGTAAAAAGAACTGTTTTATATAGCTTCCGGCAAATGATATATGAATATAAATGAATTTTGCCAAAGGGATGTAGATGACATTATTTTCTCTTTCAAATTCAGGTCATATGGTAAACAAGAACAGAAGTTTACGAATCCAACCTTGCTAAAATTGCATAACATTTATTTTAATTTGCATAATTAGAATATATACATTTTATATTGAGTTATTAAATGTGAATACAAATATTCAATATTTAAATTGCTTTGATTGTATTATAAATAGAACTAAATTATTATCTTTCTATTGAAAATTAAAATGAGATTTAATGTTGTCTTCACCAATTAATTGATGCATAAACGATGCTCCTATTATTAGTGGCTTATAACTTTTTTGGTTGTTTTCAAATTTGTTAACAAATCTTCCATCTGGAAATTATATTATAGATAAATAAATACCAAGTACTATGATGACAATATTATTTTGTAAGTTAGTCATTTATACTATAATTAAAAAAATTATATTCTTTTAATTCTGTTTTATTGAAGTTAATTAGGTAATTATAAAAAAGATAGATAATTAAGTGATATCTTTAATTTTGATAGATCTTTCCTTTTAATCAGTTTAGAGTGAAATTTCAATTAATATTTATTTTTTATTTCATAGCATTTCTTTAATGATTCATTTTTAGCATCATCCAGTTTCTGTTTGATGCTTAGTCACTTCTAAACTAGCCACATTGTGTAGTTTTTCTTTGCAATATGAATATGTTGTATGAGTGACAATAAAATATTGTTTTGTAACATAGTTTATTTAGTATGCTAGATCTAAATATTAAGATTTTTGAAAGCGCTTATAGCAGCCCCCAATAATATGCAGGATGATTTACTGTAAGCTTCAGTGGCAGATTCGAGGGGGTGATGCCCAGTTGGCTTGGGCCCCCTAAATAAAAAAAAAAATTATTTTTAAAAAGTAGAAGAAATTTAAATTATATTCAAATTATGTGTGAGAGTGCCATTTCAGGCCATCTGGAGGTGTAATCCTTATAAATTTTCTTCACCATGGTTGGGGTGGAAGTGGTCTAAGCCCTCACATCTCTGAAAGTCCCTTCCTAGGCCCTCTCTATGTCCCTTACTAGGCCCTCTCTATTTTAAATTCCTGGGGCCACATTTATCAAACTAGAAATCAGCTTAAATTCGTCTAAGTCCATTTTTTTGCTTAAGTCAAATTTATCCATATTGCTTAGCTTAAAAATTGCTTAAAATTAGAAAGTCGATTTTACGTTGGCACCATCTAAGACAATTTTTAAGCCAAGATTTTGCTAAGGTTGGGTAATAAATCAGCTTAAGATATTTATTAGGGACATCTTAACTTTTTTTGACTTACGACATTTGCTAAGCTGAGATTGATAAATCCAGGACCAGGATCTACAACAGAGCTTTAACATTATTGCCATCTTAACTGTGCTAAGACCCTTAACTGAAACTAAAAATAATTTTAAGACAGATATATTGTATTTATAATTTATAATTACCAGTAGGCATTGAGTTTATTATTATTATATGTTGTAGCTATTAAATGAGGATTTTTTTTACATATTAATTTATGTTCGTGTTTTCAAAATAAACAAAAGTAGCATTCAGCAGAAATTATAACTATAAAAAGACAAGTCAAAATGACTTATCCATTCTTTGAAATGAAAAATCCTGATTGTCCTTGTGATCATTGGCTTTGAAACACAAGTTAATTGATTAGAAGGGAAAGAGTTGACACAAGACAGGAAGGCATTGCGCTAACATCATTGAAATCTTGAATTGCAATTCTTGTTTTGCTTTCTTTCTGTCAAAACTTCCTCTCAATTGGCTTCAAGTGTGTAATCATTTGATTGCTAGCCTTAAACAATGAATTTTCCAGCATTAGATAAATAAAACAGACCAAGCGTAAATTGATAGGACGGTGTCCACAAAAGTGCATGGATGCTAGCGACCATCCATTAATTTCATAATTTTTGCAAGAGTACAGAATATGCTAGGAGGAGGGGCTTGACTGTAATAAAATGATCAGAAAATGTAAAATATCATTATAATTTTATTGTGTACTCTAGGGAGGGGTTTTGTACTGTCGTAAAAATTATGAAAATGTGGATGACCCACCTTATTCATTGCTACATCATAATTGTAGACATTTTAGGGTGATTTCTATTTTTGTCATCATTAGTTATAAGCAGTCTTTTCAAACATAATGTTTACATCCTCAAAAAATGCATGAGTGTATCTTAATTATTTGTACCATAGATGTTTTAGGATTCTTCTAAGAAATTACAAATTCTTGGCATGGTGCTACGTTAACTTTTTTTATTAATTTTAAGCAAAAATTATGTCATAGTTGTTTTCAGAGAGGAATCATGTTAATCGTTATGTAAATGATTTTATAAATTTAATATAGGTCTCCATCTGATTAAAGATCCCTCCAATTAAAGACCACCTCCAATTAAAAACCACTTTTATGGTCTCATATTTACAAAATAATTAGAGATTAAAGCTGTGAAAGGCCATGGAAACCCTGGTCCCAAAAGTGGTCTGTAATTGGAGGGAGGTATGTACTATGAGTTAAAATTGAAATGTGTTGCTAAAATGTTGCAAAGACAAGCCAAACCAGTCACTCGTCGCAAAAATTGATTTTGAGTTATTAATACAGTGTTAGAGAGTAAAATAATAGCTATAAAATGGTAAAAAAATCATTCAAATCAGACATTTTTAGCCGTCAAAGTTTATGATTTCAGGCATTTCTCATGCAGAAACTACCTTTAAATCCTTAAAAAGTATTGTTTTAACATTGAAAATGGGGAAAATAACAGCATAGAATGATGTGTAGATATATAAATGTTAGTTTAGTGCAATAAAATAGATTTTTTAAAATTTTACATTCCAGCATGTTTTGGCCATTTTCTCTGAAACACAATTTGCGACGAGTGACTGGTTTGGCTTGTCTTTGCCACAAATTGACATCACAAGCTGATACAACAGTAATTTTCCCAACTTGGCTCAATATTCTACCTCATTATCGACATTTCATTGATCAAGTTCCTAGTCCACATATCAAGCACCCTGAGCATCTTACATTAGATGGATATGTGCGCTATATAAAACTACACTATTATTAATCCTCATTGGGAAGGGTTGGCTGAAGCCAGGAACAAACTAAACAGGATTTATGAGTAATTTGCTCATAATTTCTGTACGGTAGCTAATGATTAATTTGGTGATGCTAATACATTTTCCTGTATAAATTGTTATGAGAATTATTTTTATAGATTGGAAAAAAAGGAGACCATCATCGAATACAATGATTTTTACTCAGGTTAAGGACTTTTTTAGTTTTAGGAAAAAAGAAAGTTAAAACCACTACTGTGTAAATCCTGAAATGTACCATTTCATTGGCTAATACAACATTTTTATCTAATAAATATGACACCAGGCTAGTTATCTGGAGCTTATGGTTCGATTCCCACCCAAATCACTTGCAAGATTTTTTTGGGAATGTATTGATCGTTCAGTACGGTACCACGTCGGGTAGGGCAAAATATCATTCCGATTACTTTTCCTGATGCAAGCAATATTGAAACAATAAGTCAATCAATCTACTGCTGTTTTCTTTTGTGATTGTTTGCTTTTTTAACTTGTTACTAAGACTTTACAATTTATTATTAAATTTTATGTCTTTTTAGTTTATTTTTAATTGTCACAAGGGTGTATCTTGTTGTTAGGTCTGAATCAATGTCTGTAGAATATTGCAGACCTGACGCTGACCTCAACGTCAAGATCAC